GATCAAAATATGGCCTAATCTGGCAGTGTATAACACCATGTAGTTGCAAGCGCAGCTGGTAATCGTTCGTCTCCACACACGCCTCATGCGTGTGGTAAGTGCAGCTGGTAATCGTTGCGTCTCCGCACACGCCTCACGCGTGTGGTAAGTGCAGCTGGCAACCGTTTCGTCTCCGCACACGCCTCATGCGTGTGGTAAGTGCAACTGGTAATCGTTTCGTCTCCGCACACGCCTCATGCGTGTGGTAAGTGCAGCTAGTCCATCGACGAAGCTGATATAATTTTGTGGATATTTCCACGAACCAATTCTACACGAGCAGACATCCGATCATGCCAACCACGCCCACAACCTGCATGATGAAAGGTGCCAACAACGAAGCACCACGTCGACCGCCGTTGCGAGAACGACGTCTTCGGGCTCGAGGAGCACTATGCTGGTTGTGATTCTCCTGGTCACGACTGGTACTGGGTGGTCCGGTGCTCCCCGAACGAGTTTCATTCGGGGTATCATTCCTGGAAATGGTCTTCTCGTCTTGAACGAATCTGGGAGACGCTCTTCTTATAAGACCGGGTTCAACGGGCGGAACAAGCCCACCAAACCTCACCGATTTGTGAACGGGAAGGGCGCAATCAGAATGGCCAAGAAGGCTGGCCCACCAGAACCCATATCATGTACTGGGTCCTTTGACACCACACGCTCCGGTGTGCGCTGGAAGTAGTCTTCCTCATTGATGGAAAAGAGTGTTTCGTGATTGACCAACTTCCGAAATTTCAAAGTCTCCTCCAGTGTAGTTTGTCTTTGGGGGACATTTTTGGGAGGTTCAGGCTTCTCCCGCTCGAGTTTAGGGAAGAACTGATCCATATATGTCTGGCCCGGAATTATTATGGTGGCTCTGTTGAGCTCAGTTTGCCTTTCTTCCTCCTCCTTGGTCCGCAGCGCTACAAAGTCGTGAATGTCCTCCATTCTCGTTTGGTAAATATAGCCACGAACGGCCTGATCCCTGGCCTGGATGACCTTCTGGAAGGGTAAGATGAGTTCATCCACATTGCAGATAAGCCCACACTTGGCGGCATCAATCAATTCACCAATATATAGTTCTTCGCGGGCTCTCAGGAATCGTTTCAGAGGCGAAGTTTCATCGCACACATCGGCTAGACGTGGCTGGAAAAGATTCGGACGGCTTGAAATGCTGTCAATCTGACCCATGGGGGACAAACTGAAATCGTTCATTCCTCGATCCATCTTTTGCACGTAACTTTACCCCACAACTAACCTACGTGCGTTGAGATTAATCATCCCACAACTTGTACTTGTTCCAATACCGCAATCTCGGTAAGCAATGATGATCAGTTCAGTAGCAAGGCAAGTGGGTCCTCCGACCAAGCAACGCTGGAGCATTTCGTGGTCTGACATTTTCGAAGAGATTTCAGTCTTAATGAGGTTACGTATATTAAGATCATCGTAAATGATATTTGAACTATAAGTATGAACGTTTCACCCGATCAAAATATGGCCTAATCTGGCAGTGTATAACACCATGTAGTTGCAAGCGCAGCTGGTAATCGTTCGTCTCCACACACGCCTCATGCGTGTGGTAAGTGCAGCTGGCAACCGTTTCGTCTCCGCACACGCCTCATGCGTGTGGTAAGTGCAGGTGGTAATCGTTTCGTCTCCGCACACGCCTCATGCGTGTGATATAATTTTGCGGATATTTCCACGAACCAATTCTACACGAGCAGACATCCGATC